AGGTGTAAACAAATACTAAAGCAACAGTGCATGTAGGGCTGAAACAGGAAGATTCCCAATAAAAATCGAAGCATAATATAGGAATTTTAAGTTTTGGCTAACTCTAACCAAACACCCAAAACACAAATTATCACAGGTGGTTTATAATGATATAAAGTCGAGGATGAATAAGGAATTATGGAGCCAAAAAATCAAACGTGTATTAGGCCAAATGGGGCTGGGATACCTCTGGACAAAAGCACATGAAAATGACATAGGAATCTTGAACATCATCAAACAAAGGCTGAAAGACATCGAATTACAAAGATGGTTAAGTGACGTAAACAATGACGTAAGAAAAGACGCCAACCAAAAGAACAAACTAAGAACCTTCCGAAAATTTAAAACAATAGAAAATTATAAATGTGAAGACTTACCAATGGGTGGACTGGATAATTTGCTATTTATAAACGTTATTCACATTTTCTCCGAAAGAATTTTTGTTGGGCTTGCTAGTTATGAGAATAAACGCTTCTATCTTTCAAACGCCATCTCTCTCTCTATTAAACGCTCCTAAAATTCAGTCAAAACCCCGGGCGTCTATTACATTTTTTACGTTATCGTATTAAACGACTGTGAGTTATGGAGCCGCTTCGTTCTTCCTCTTGCAAAACTTAACGATCGATTCAGAATTAACTACATAATTGTTCGCCTCAGATATTGCACATTACGCATTTTTCAAATTGCACTGAATCTTAAAAGTAGAAAGTCAAAGAACAACACCCTTATTGAGGATATTTTTCTGATACAGTTAATCAAAGTATTTTATTCCAGGCTTAATTACTCATACAAACTTCCATAGTTAACCGTAGGTTCACCGTATTATGGTTTGTTTCCTAGTGCATGGAATCTAAATTTTGGTAGAAAGCGGAGATTAAATTGCCTTACCCTACTGCCTCAGTAATTCACGTAACAAAATCTACGGCTGTAACTATAATTATCGATCACTATAAATACCATGACCTGTTAGTAGTCATCGCTAATGAACAGCACATGTAACAAATGTATTAACTTACATCTTAATTTTTAAACAGTACTTACAACACAAATAGGTAATAGATAATAATCTTATCTGCATAAGCTACAAAAGTTAATCCTGATAATAAAACTTAATCTAAAAGCTCCTTTTTGTCATATTGCACTATGCTGATTTCTTTGCCAGCTACTCGGGGAAAGTTTTAGCATCACGCATACGGCAAACTGCGAACGGCAAACGTCAGATTGAAGTTGAAAATTTCTCAAAATAGAATATGAGCAGATAAAAACAGCTCAAAACAATTCTTATGGATAAAAGAGTGAGTGAAACTACCAATTTAGGTGTAGAAATAACGAACAGTAAACAACAAGTAAAGAGGAAACTTGGTCACGTGGCACAATTTCGCGTCTGCCGTTTGACGTAAACGTGATGCTTAACCTCTCTCATAACAATTGACACTGAGAGACTTGCGCCGCTGCACTTAGATGCGTTAATGTTTCCTCAGCGAGCGAATAAAAAAGAAACTATAAGACAAGTATCACTAAACAAACTGAACTGTTATTAGTCACTGCTAATGAACAGTTCATACAACAAATTTACTTTAAACCTGGATCTGAATCCAGATAGCGACCATTGTTTTTCTAATTAATTTGCACGGTAGTAGGATTAAACACACTGAATTGTTATACGACACTGCTATTGAACAGTTCATACAATAAATTTACTTTACACCTGGATCTGAAACCAGAGAGCAACCATTTTTTCTAATTTACTTGCATGGTAGTGTTATAAATTCTGCACGGTATATTGTACCATCGGAGTAAACACACTGAACTGTTATTAGACACTGCTAATGTGCTAATGAACAGCATGTGCAACAATTTTACTAAATGGACCTGAATCAGGACAGCAAACTTAAGTTTTTGGAAGAAAATGAAAGGCAAGTATAATCTCTCCAAGTCCATTACAAAGTTAACATTGGTAGTAGATTGAAATGGTAGTGTTATGAATACATCTGATATATACGTAAATTAAGAATAATTGAAACTGCAGGTTCGGCGTAGTGCTGATGTTTTTGAGAGTTCATGCAAGGTACATTTGTGCTGAAACTAATATAAGAAACTAGAAAACTAAGGAAACTGAAAGGGTGCTCTTCACTAAGGAGAGAGCACATTGCTCCAGCTTTAATACTGACAAAATATAGTTCTATCACAAAACATGCTGAGACTGTTATAAGCCACTGCTAATGAACACGGCGCAACAAATTTATTCTAAACCTGGACCGGAGTCAAGAGGGCAACCTTCATGTTAACAGCTCTGCATCACTTACAAAAGCTGACAATGGTAGTAAGTTATTCAAATTACATCATTATGAAGACATCACTACATGGTTACCTAATTACATACTATTTTTTATAAAACCTCATGTTCAACGTACTGTTAACCCTGATTTGCTCGTCAGTTGACGAAGTGGCATTTTTGTTAAACAGACTGTATCACAAGGATATTGCTGTTTCAGTTCAATTCTGGGCTGAAATCATTTCTTAGTGCCCTAACCCATACACAAAATGCTCCCGTAGAGTTTTCAGAAGAAGATATGAAACAAATTTGACCAGGGAGCACTAACCATAATATTTTTTTGGTGAGTAAATCATTAAAACTTGAAAAGGTTGGCCCAACTTTTTCAAGTTTTAATCCATGTCCATCCTTGCAATCCGTTGCAACAGACGACGGGAAACAGATTCAATGTCTAAATATATTATAGTCTTAAGCAGTAAAACCGGACCACTATGTTTTGGAATTCAACTGATATGACGACAGGTTTTAGTTTTTGAAAAGGTAACAAATAGCGTGAAAAAGCCCCTTAAAAAGTGAGAAACTTGCTTACATGAAAGATGATTGGTCGACAACTTTCGAACAAGAATGGCCGAGGGTGCGTTCTTTTAAAAGCCATTTCTAAGGACTCAGGGACTGGTCAAAAAGTATAGGGGGGGTGGCCGGAGCAGAGAGGGGGGGGGTCATGAGGTTTTGAGCCTTGTGCAAGGGGTGGGTCGTGCAATTTGCGGCTACCCTTAGGGGGTGGGTCACCCTATTTTATTACATAGATAAGCACTAACTACTAACGAGACAGTTGACCACACTTGTTATATAAAACACAGCCAGCTGGAATTATTGCTAAAATACTCACAAACCTGTAGTGCGAGAAAATGCAACGGGTGACAGGCCGCTCATCCCGTGAACCCTTTGTTAACCTTTTTTTTTTTTGGCTCTAACGAGCATGTCCTTGAATGATTTTCCTTTTTTGTAAGGACATGATTGGTGGTTCTTTAAAAATTTATTGGTTGGTTTTGTATAAGATTCCATTTTTATTATTCAAGCTTCCTTTATAGTAGACACTGAGGGTTGGTATTGTGTCACAAATGGCCATAAATCTTTTTCCTCCTTGTAGGTTTTGTTTTAGGAGTTTAGACTCGTTTTTGTGAATTTTATTTCTGATAGTAGGTCGTCTATCAAAGTCTGTGGGTAGCCTCCGTCCTTCAAGCGTTTTTTGAATTATTTTCCTTTTATTTTCCTTAACGCTTGGCGGGTGACACGAGGTGAAATGTGTGTGCAAGAAGGTTTCCGTTTGTTTAAAATGTGTCTTTGCATCAAGGATAGATTTTTTCTTGAATCTTGCGCCTTTGTATACAACCGTGTCTAAAAACGCTGCATCTAAGTGTCATATGTTTCGGCCATGAATTCAATAGTTGGGTGATGTAAGTTTGCTTGTTCAATGAAGGCTTTGATGTCTGGTTTACTCATGTCCCATAGGGAAAAGATATCGTGTTTGTAGCATTTCCAAACTGTTGTTCTAAAGACAGTTTTGCTTAGAGTTGTTGTTTCAATATATGTCTTGAAAATATTGGCAAAGGAATCAAAACTGCTGTCTTTGTGCCCATTACAGTTCCATGGTTTTGTAGGTAGTGCTTTCCATTGAGGTGGAAGAAATTTTCTTTGAGGATTAATCTAAGAATTTCCGGCAAGTAATGTGTAGGAATGGGTTATCTTTGTAGAAATTTTCATATGCGTTGTGACAGACAATTTCAATAAACCCTCGTTTTGCTGTATATTTGTGTCAAGACTCATAATGTCCATCGAAACAAGAAATGTTCGGTTTTTCACATTTGCCTTTTCAGTGAAAGGTATGATTTCTGTGATTTTGATATTGGTTGTAGCACAGGCCGCCCAGACTTAGTAAGTGTCACTGAATGAATATATTAATATTCACATGGACAAATTAATGCGATGAGTCGTCGAAACTCCAATGAACTAAAATAGTCCAAAAATTAAAATATAAAGTGGATAGTACCTACAATTGCAAAACTCAACAAAATGCCACTTAAACCGGCCAGGAAAGACAAGGATACGTTCAGTTAAAGGTATCTTAGCTTTATTTTGTTATATTTTAATTTTTGGACTATTTTAGTTCATTGGAGCTTCGACGACTCATCGCATTAATTTTTCCATGTGAATATTAATATATTCATTCAGTGACACTTACTACGTCTGGGCCGCCTGTGGTTGTAGCAGTGTATCAACAAATTTTTTCAAGCACAGAACAAGGTTAGGCCATCCTCTTTTTTTTCTCCGTTTACCGTCGTCCGACCGACCCAAATTTTTGGCATTTTTTTAAAAAAAGTAACGACATAGTTACACCATTTTTTACTTGAAATAATTCTTTTAATCTGAAAAATGAGCATAGTAACAGCACAGAGAAAAACAAGAACACAAACATGAACATTTTTCACAGTATATTTTACATTTTGTTAATCCAAATATGTGAATGTTAACTTTTAACGTTGTCCTGGGGTACCAGGGCCTACTATTCTGAGACTTTTGTGATTTTTTTTAAAGTTTCTTATTTTTTTTTCAATCCGACCGACCGACCCAATATCAGGGAACGCATTCGACGGTAAACAAAGAGAAAAAAGGGGATGGCCTTAGAGGAAACCAAACATCCATGTTTTAACTAGGGGGTGGGTCATGCAATTTCCAACCTTGCTTTAGGGGTGGGTCAGTCATTTTTGTGCCGAAGGGAGGGGGTGGGTCGTGTGTTTTTTATCAACCACATTTCCAAATGCTCCGGCCCACGCCCCCTATACTTTTTGACCAGTCCCTCACAGACGAAAAATGTTAATATTGTTTGGCTGAAGAACCGCAGCTGGTCCTACGATACCTTCTCTCAAATAAATCACACGTTTTGACATAATATTTCAGAGAATTTTGAATAAACAATCGCTGTACGCATGGCACTCAAAATGGTGCGCCACTCATTGGTAACTTGCAACCAGTACTAAACTGCAAATATCTCGGTGTTCCTCGGTCAAAGCAGCTAGAGCAATTTTTAAAGGTGATGCAAAAATATAACGATAATATTGATGATTTTGTATACCGAAAAGAAGGCCAACACCGTCGAGGACGTATTCTGCTTTCTTTTTGGGGTCGCATTCTGCTTTCTTTTCGAGGTCGTCTTTCTTTACCTTAACGAAGATCACAGATCCAGAATCTCCACTCTTTGCAAATCCTTCTTCTCCTTCTTGGATGCACAAGCACCTTTTTAACCAAAACTTATCGTACACACCGGCTTTGCCTGGGCCGCACTCTTCACAGGAGCGACGTTGTTCACTTTCAGCGACAAAGCGTTGACTTTCTCCACAACTTTCACAAAAGAACGTTTTCGCTTCACAACTGACAAATGGATCATGTAGCTCGTACAATGGAGGCTTCATAAAATGCGGAGCCGCGACGCCAGGTCCAACAATTTTGTTGCGGATTTCCGTATATCCCGTTGTTCGGCCACTCTTGCAAAGTTTATTGGTCTCTAATATGGCCGGTATATTTTCGGGTTCGCATTCACCTCTTATTTTCATATCACTTTCAATCAACCTAGCTGTCCGGCTTTGTTTTAAACGTGTTACTTCTTCGTCAGGCAACTTTGCAATGGCAGCATCGATGAAGTATTCTTTGCCATTAGTCTGGGGCCAGAAAACATTTTTATTGACACCAACGAAGTACTCTCCTATTTTTCTTGGCGGCTTGTTCCCTTCTTCAAAAGCTTTCTCAAGCTTTTCAATTCTTGCCAGATCCGTCCTGGTGTATGTGCTTCTTTTGGGGTGATTATTTTTTATGAGCTTTAGCTCTTCGAATTTATTTCGTAGTGCCTCACTCGATGAAAGGGTTTCAACTGAACACTCTATTTCCAAGCCGGTTACATCATCTAGACAACGTTTATATTGTGCTAGATAATATTTCAGATAGTTTAGGTGGTCATTGAGTCCAGGATGAATAATACACTTTGACTCTTCTGAGTTCATTACATGATCACAGGACAAAGCATAATAATTGCTACCGTCTTTCACAATAGCACCTAGTGACCCAGATGATTTCTTTCCTTGTACGCCAACGCTTGCTCCTAAACAAAGCACATCACTTTGCTCTTGTGCCTCTGTTGGTTTCCAGTATGGTTTACCTGCTCTTATCCAGAATCCATTCACAACATCCACGGGGTAACCCTCAAATGCATTTGGAAACGCAAGCTCACCAAATGGAATACAGCCTTTACCGAGCACATAAATCGTAATACATGGCTTATCTGTTTGCGTGGAATCTGTGATTTTGAAAGAGGCCTGCACAGAGGTAACATTGCGATGCTTAGAAAGTTCAGGAAGCTTGTTTTCAATCACTTCATTCATTTCGTCAACCTGAGAAGCGGTCAATGGTGTGGGTTTGCCAAATGGATACTTGAGTGGTTGAACATTCAGTATGTTCACGCTGTCGTTATACAGATCGAACCATTCCAGCTTCACATGCATATCTTCGAAAAACGTTTGGGCTTCTTCCTTTAAATCTTTTGGAATACCAGACTCCCCACTATAGACATAAAACTGAACCACAATCTGACTATCCTTTGTATATGGCAACACACGAATGCATTCCTCGTGCTCAGCTTCAAACATCATGGTTGCTGTACGAATGTCTGTCACTCCACGCGCCGTTGCCATACGCAGTTCACCTGGATCCATGGAAATGTCGTCGTTAGGGTCTTCAACGGATTCTCCCTCATGTGCGGATTTAAGACTCGGTTCAGGAACAATACTAAGCTTGTCCATTTGCAACACATCTGTTAAAAAGAAGAGGTAATTCCGTATGAGCTTCGACACAATAACTTTCCAGGGGCGTATCACGGGGGGGAGCGGGGGGACGATGCAGGAGACAGGGGTACGCATTTCCTCCCCTGAGATGACCTGCGGCTTTTCAATTCAACTTTGTGGTTTATTGGTGTTGGAAGTAAAACATGAGACGAGGTTGAAGAATTTATGTTAAATGCCGTAAAAATGGTAGTTGTGCACCCCCTCCTGAGAAAAATCCTAGATTCGCCCCTGTTTTCACTCTATGCTGCGAGGCCATGGGCACATCTCCTGAAACTAATGTTAGAGATGAAATCTATCTTTACAATGTTAATCTACGTTTATCATAAGTTTTAATGAGATGAGGGGCCTGAGGGTAAGGCGTTAAATATTATTTGGGCAACATAGACCATCACGCATGTACTGCTCGGATCCTGAAGCCGAAGAATTTAACGGTATACAATTCTTTGGTTGATTTCTTTACGCATGTAACATCAGAGCACGGTGTTCGTTGGTTGCCAAATTACAAGCAAAATGTAAATGGTGTCATAAGATAAGTAGAAGATAAAAAAGTTGAGATTAAACCCTTGATGAAGGTAATTGTTGCTAGGTAACAAGGTTACTAAACAAGTGGAAATTGTATGACTTCCGATTAACGTAGTTCACGCGTTATTGGACTACTGACAGGCAGCATGGGATATTTTTATCGTGCCACGCGCCATATCGCCTTCGTTTCGCTTACTCTTGAATTCAACTACAAAATTCTAGATATAACCATGACGGAAAGGTATTAATGATTAATATGTAGATTTAGCCAGGGCTAAAAGCGAAGCTCCCATTAATAAATTTATAATTTAAATCAAACAATAAACTTGTAATCCATAAATCAGTTAACTTAAAGGGACGTTCATCTAACTTTTGAGGGAAAGGCTGAGTGATTTTAGAGTGAAACATCTTACATCGAGTTGATAGCCTTATATGTACACCAAACATTCAAGAGCCATAATGGCTCTTGATCACAGTAGATTAGGCCTGGAAAACAAATTCTTGGGAAACAAATCAGGCCGAATTTTTTGCTTTCGATAAGTTTACTTTACAAAATCTTGCCAACAAATCTGGGGGTGCGTAAACCAACCTTTTATACTTTTTATACATCACATCTGAGGTGAAACAGTACAATTTATCATACAGACCTCGGACAGAATGCAGTATTTCACAATTTTTCAAGACAAATTGCACTCAGTCAATATTCAGGACGATCAATCGTGGGCTATTAGTGAAACCGTTCAAAAAATTTCCAAAATTACCTATACGGCCAGCCGGTTCCCACTTTTGACGAGCGCCAAATTTGCAGTGAACATTAATAGAATTACGCTTCAACATAATAAAGAATTTATCATGTTTATTTTTTTATTTAATGGTTTTATAACGATGTGTAATCTTAAAAGGCGTTTGATACGCGCGGCATTTTGAGTACTCCAGCAACAGATGTTCATGAACGACTGAAAACAAACGGCACAGCGATTAAAATTGCAGGGGAGACTACTAACAATTAATAAAAGAAACATAATTTGGTGAAACATTTACAGAGACAACAATTTTCATTCACCAAGACAAGCATTAAAGTGTTTCTAAAAATCCTGAGTCTTAAAGCTTACAGCTTAAGTTTATTTTTTAAGCTGGCCTCCTGGTGTTTGCTTTTTTTCAAAGATGACTCGAGGCAAGAAAGTCGCTCAAAGTTTTCTCTCTACAGCCAAATTTATAACTAAATATTCTTCGGAACGTTTTCTTTCTATTTGCGGTGAGAAAATATATCTAAAGGCTTTTTAAAGTTCTGTAAGCTTATATCAAACCTGATACTAGGTCAGATCATTGTCTCAAATCTTACAAACGTGCATAAACATGCCGCATAAACGGTGCTCGACTTCATAAAATTAGATATAAAAAACAAACATAAAAAAAAAATAATTACTCAGGCTTACCATTCGAGATGCAGCTCCGGAAAGCTATCAAGTAAGGTCAGAATAGCTTGAGACTATTGAACCCTCTTACGCATCAAGCAAGGTGAAAAACGAAAACGATGCCATCCGAAATCGGATTTCCGACTTTGACAAGCGACGCATCTCTCAACCACAAAACCAATAAACAAACTAGCCTTCTCAAACTCATTAATAATTCATAAAGAAAATACAAAGAAAATTAATGTTTAATGAGTGTTTGGAAATCGGATGAAAAACTGCTCAGTATTTGCATCCTTAATTTCTCCTTCAAAAATGATTTTGTTTGAGAAGAAATATCAAACATTCGACACAGTGTTTCATCACCAGATGAAACACCTCGAAGTTCGTCAAAAATACTCCGCTGCGCGTCGTATTTTCAACTCTCTTCTCGGTGTTTCATCTGGTGATGAAACACTGCGTCTCATGTTTGATATATTACATGAATAACAGAGGACTCTTGATAGCAGCTGTATTTAATTTTGTACATCCAGTGGAAAAAGACAGTCAAAAACATCACAAGTTGACACAAAACTGTCAGCTTCAGCTGTCAAAGTAAACAAGTTTCAAGATGCTTCATAAATTTTCCGTATGAACTCACCTGCCAAATTTTGACCAATCAGAGCATAAAAATTGGACGTAGAGCGTGACCAACGCGTGACCTTGGTAAGAAAAAGTCTTTCCCGCCTGTATTTCTAAATAACTGGCTGAATTTTTGCGTCCGAGGTTAGATTGAAATCAAAATCTTAACAGTACGGGGCCATAGTGACATAAAAACAACATATTTCATATGAATTTACAGCGACCATTTGAAAACTAGTAACTTGTTGGCGGATAACTTAAAACATCACTCGACCTCGATGGGTCGACACCTGAGCCCGCGACACGGTCAGGTGCTACTGGTCAGCAGATACCTTGTTTTGATAGCTGTCAATTGATCACAACATTGATGTGCAATCAGTTTTCTCCTGGGCTCCCAAAGAAGTTAAAAAGTGTGAAAGTAAACATTGGTTTTCCTGTGGTGCGGACGGACGGTCTCTCGGGCGGTCGGTCGGTGTACGGTAACGTGTGATTACCAAATGTTCTGGGATGAGTAGATTTACTTAGCTATGGGGCTCCACCCACGCGCGCGCGAACAGGATGAACAGGATGGCGCAAAGTCTCTGTCCATTTGTGTATTGATCAGGAAAACTCATAATAACCTTATCTTCTCACGCTTTACTTACTGAAGCACCGAAAGTAAACAGACTGTCTGCGAAAAAGAAGCAAAGTATTTATAGTTTCGTCGCTGAATGGTAGAGTTTAAACTTTTACGGTCCCTCTGTATAGAAACTGCGTCAAATCTGTTTGTGGTGTTCGTTTTCACCACCCTCCGCTTGACGAACCAAAGTTGTCGAAGAAATGGCGTAAGCAAAATCGATGCGAAAGTATACCGCTTAACTGAGGACACAAAGGAAAGAATGACCAGAGGATATCATAAGAGGCGTAAAAACAAAGCCTCAAAAAGACTGGCATAAAATGCAACACTGGAAAAACACAGAAAATACCCCGAAATTTACTATAAATTTGAATATTTGGTACACTTACAAAGTTAAACAGCCGAGGAAAACAACTTAGTTGTTCCGTTGTACGAGGATTGTGCAAAGCTTGTCATGTTGTTTAAAGTCGCTACGCTGGTTTTTCTGAATGAGAACAGAAGCTGCATTGAACATAAATTGCCGCGGTGGACTGGTTTCAGCTAGTCGCTTGAAAATGATTTTGTCCGCCAAACAGCCTGCAGATGTATTTTGCTGATTTCGGTGATTCCGTCATAGATGAATTATTTGCTTGTCGAGGTAATTTTATGTCACGATAAGCTTTATACTTTGTGGCTTTCTATATTTTCCCAGTGGTTGCGTCCTCCGCGAGTGAAAAATCCAAGTCCATCAACGGTTTTGAGGAATGCTTAAGAAAGCAACAGGCTACCTTTGTCGAGACGGAGTAAGGGCCTGTTTACATGGAGTGGGGGACCCCGGTCTAGTGGGGTTGGTTTCTTTTGTTTTCACGCTCTGGGGGACACAAAACAAAAGAAACCTACCCCACGAAACCGGGGTCCCCCACTCCATGTAAACAGGGTCTAAGTGTCGACTTGACTTGACCTGTATTTCCTTTCAAGAATAACGGGCCAATCACAATGAGGCATCACGTAATGCTCACGGGGGAGTGTTACATTTACAACACAGAAACAAATTGAAACTTAAGTGGAAGTTTCGAAAACTCCAAATTCCTTTTATCAAGACGCGAAACTGAGCAACGCGAGCATGCCCTCGTAGACTCGGTCGTGGCTGAGGGCCGGATGGCTGCGGTTTATTCGGAGGGCTTCCTTGATCTTTCCTTGGCCAAGATTCTCTTCTCTTGCCAGGATCTTTACGTTATTTAGTGTGAAATTGTGGCCAGGGACGTCCGTATGCTCTTGGATGGCAACTGACGTGGGTTGTTGTCCATCTGTTTGCTCAAGGAAGCGCAGAAAAAAGTCCTGGCTGTCCCTCCCACATGTTCCTTCCAACACCTTCTGTAGTTAAACTTTAAACACGCCACATGATTTTTCTATGCTGGGCACCCTTAGGCGCTACCACCAAAGAGTGCTGAAGAGATTGCTGTAAATATTCCCACCCTGTTGCTTGAATATTCTTTGGAGCTGTTTTGACTTTCCTCTGACGAACGACAGTGCCATAACGAAGCTAGAAGTCCTGGGGGCTGTCGACGTGGAAAAGTTACGGTGTTCTTTATTTTCTATTTTATTTTCACCACCTTATTATGACACAGTAATAAATTACTGAAATTCGAACATGGCTATAAAGCCCAAAGAAACCGTGAGGCTTCTGCAACGCGGGCTTTTCTTTTTTTCTCTTTCTTTTTCGTTTTAGCTATTAGATTGTACACCCATTTCTTGCAGATGTTGGCCGAGAGTACATCTTTCACATGTTTTTCAATAATAATAATACTAATAATAATAATAATAATAATAATAATAATAATAAATTATTCTTAAATGCACACTTACAAAAGAAGAACTTATCCTGCAGTTGAGTGGATTTGAGGAAACACTGGAAATACATGGGATACAGTTTAGCCTAATAAAACTAATTAAGTCTGTCATAAAGAAATGAAGAATCACACTGGAGGTAAATACGAGCAAGGGTAAAGAGAAGATCGGTCCCATCAAAGTGAACAAAAAGATATTGCAGGGCGACTCCTTTTGTGGAAGATTTTTTACTATTGCTCTGAATCCAATCGTATAGTACTTGAGAAGCACAGAGGGGTACAATTTATCTCACAATCCTAACCAAAAGATCACGCATCCGTTGTTTGTAGACGATCTCAAAACATACCACAAGTCTGAACAAAAGGCAGCAGTTGTGTCAAGCAAGTTGAAAGTGATGTTTAAAGGTACTGGTCTGGAGTAGGGAATAACCACGTGTGCAGCCATACACATAAAAAGAGGTCATCTAAACACCAGTGAAAATAGTACCATGCCTGTCTATGATGATGCCAATATCCCTTTCAACGGTGACCATGACCACTAAAAGTTTCTTGGTAAGCTTTAAGACACCTAACATCTAGACGAGTTCCCAGCATTGGTAATGGGGTAGGTAAAGTCCTCATGAGTTGTGGAACGCCCACATAAAGGTGCTTTGTTTTGTCAGGGTTGATGAGCAGTGAATTTCTATAGCACCAAATCGATATTTCTTTAGGATCTTCGTTTACTGCAGAGATAACGTCGTTAAGTTTTGTGAAGTTTGCTGAAGGGGAACCCAGAGGAGGAATGTGTCGTCATCCACATGGACGAGTGGTTCGCAATGTTTTGGGACTCGAAAAAGCTCGTTTACGTATTATGTCAACAATACCGGGCCCATGATGGATCCTCGCGGTATTCCAACAGTTAGGGGTAAGGGATTGGATACGGTATTCGGAATTTTAACGACTTGTTCAGGTTGCAGGGTGTCCAGCGGCATGGTTGCTCAAAAAATAGGAAAATAGGAAACTCAGGATTGAGAAAATAGGAAAAATAGGAAACTTTGCATTAAAAAATAGGAGAAAAATGGGAAAATCAATAGTACTTTTGTCGACAAAGATAGCTTCCCTGCACCCCATAAGGGTTATAATAAAGGCTACGAGTCCTCAGATTCTATGATCACAGGATTTAGTTTATTTGTTTAGTTTATTGGCTCAGTTATGCTGTATTAAATCAGAATGATATGATTGACTACAGGTCGAGCGTGGTTCTATAATCAAAGGTGATCATATGGAAATTCCCTTCAAGTTGACGGCAAATCTTTCAAAAGCTTTGAAGAGTGAAATTTCTTAGGATAGAAATTTCTTACGATTGAGTTGTCATTGAAGGATATAGAAAAAAGTCCTATGGAAAGCTTTCCTTCTATTAATCTGCAATCGGTGCCTGGTTGAGAATATGCTTGTTTGAGTCAAAAGACCGCATAATTTTAAGTATGGAACCGGGCTCTCTGCGGTGTATGCAAAATATTATATGTCACCGATCTATTTGGTACCAGATTGTAAGTGTGTCATGGTTACGTTCCAAGAAGAACATAACACTCTGCTAAGCTATGACAGTCACTGTAAGACCGATTTTGCAACCAAAATATTGGATCCTTCACCAGTTGCTTAGGTATAGCTGTTAACAAGGGCTCACCAAGAGAGCTAGTGCCGGAAACTAAACTTTAGTCTGTTCTTTACATGCAGCATCCAGAATCAGCTAGTGATTGGTTTTTTAAACAAGAAGCTGATTGGATGATTTATCTGGCCTGTGTTGTGAGAGGACAACTTGATCCTGTTTTCAGTTTCAAAGATGAACATAAAAGCGAGCAAGACTTCAAAATGAAATATAACATGTACAGATACTGAAATGCAGTTTCAGTGGGCTATGCAAAATATTTAACAATTATTCCTCGAACCTGAATGGGCTCTGAGTCAATAGCGGCCGAATGGGCTATCGACTCAGAGGCCATGAGGGCGAGAGGAATAATTGTTTTAGTAAAATCCAACTAGTTGGTCAAAAATATCGAGAATACAAAAATTTTACCTAGTTAAAGCTAGACTTTAATCCTTTTTTGCCGCCAAAAAGCCCGCACTTTTCGCTACTAGTGGGCTATAACATATAGCCTAGTAGTAGCTCAACCAATCAGAATGCAGCACTGATAATAGACCACTAGTTGGATTTTACTAGTATTCAATAGTCATGAGGACTATAACACTTCATACAATACATGCAAGTGCATGAGAAAATTATACAAAAAGTAACAAAAAAAATGTTAACAAAACTGTAGGCAGTAGAGGTCATGGAAAGAACAAACGTAACTGTCATTTTTACTAATATTAGAACATCAAAGTCAACAAGCTACTTGCTTTATGATAAATTTCACTCAAAAACACATACAACTATAATTCCATTTTCAATTTTGTAACAAATTTTGGCTTCACCAGCTAAAAAATAGGAAAAACAGGAGGTTTTAGTTTAAAAATAGGAGAAAATAGGAATAGGCTCAAAAAATAGGAAAAAATAGGAACTGGACACCCTGAGGTTGTGATAAATAGCTTTCGAACCAGGTACACGCAGATTCAGATATTCCAGCTTTGCGAAGTTTACATAACACTAAATCGTGTCGGATGCTGTCGAAAGCTTTGGACAAGTCCAAAAGAAAAATAACAGATTTCTTCTTTTGATCCACATTATTAAGCAATATATCGGTAAAGTGAAGTTTTCTATTTCCACTTTGCAGGTGATGTATGCAATTGTTAGAATCGAGGAAATTGATAAACTAGGGAGTAGCGATGTTAGTCTCCTGTTTGCAGGCCCCTCACTGTCCCCGGATTTAAGAACGGAACGATTTCTGCTTTCTTCCATAGAAGTGTAAAAGAACTCAAAGTTAAGGAATTGTTGATAAGACTAGTTCTAATGGGAGCAACAAATGGTGAGCCGTCTTTCAGAATTTTGGCGTTAACTTTGTCGCAACCGGGAGCTTTATTTGAAGGTAGACTTTTAATAATCTTATGTACATCGCTTGTGGTAATGGGTTGAAATGCAAATAAGGGATTATTGTTTGGACAGGAGCTGCGATCAGATTCGCACGGATAAATTCCCTCGGTATCATAAATGTTAAAATTGTGTTCCTCGGCAAGCTTCGTGGCTTTCTAAGCTGTCATTCTACCTACATTTCCATGAAATTCATTGAATTTGTTTGCTAGATAAGTGGATTTTCGACAGTGGCTGATAGAGCATTCTTCCTTGGAATGTAACGATTAAGAATTTTCCACATCGAATTGGTATTACCATTCGATTTTAGGATTTCAGAGCAAACATGCTCTTTTTCGGCAACCCTGATTTCACGTTAAACTTCCTGACGAAAATGGCGATACGCATCCCAGTGTAATTTGTCGTTGGTCTTCATAGCCCTCCTGTACCACATCACGCGTGTTCATTGATCCTTTGATCTCCGGTGTCACAGGCGGATTAGGCCTTGAATGAATCTTAATTTGTTTGATGGGAACATGATCATCCAAAACATGTAGGAAAGGACAGTTAAAGGAATGTACTTGGTCGTCATGATCGTCAAAAAAATTAACTATATATAAAGGAACGTTACCCAGATTTTCAATAAAACTATCACGGACAAAGTTTTTCTAGCTTCTCGTGACCACAAACGAACTCCTTGGTCTCGGCGTCTTTAATTGAGTGTTAAGCTCACTGAGCTGTGACCACTGATTGCAAAGTGTATCACATCCAGTAATGTAGGAGCTACTCGTAAGGTGTTTCCTCATTGGTCACAGAAAACAGTAACACATCATTGTTTATCATTATTTCCCACTGTTTCACGGTTAGGGTATCGAACCAATTGGCTATTAGGGTAAGGAGAGCGGCTACATGACCCATCACATCACAAGCATGAACGATACTCTCGTTCGTTGTCAAAGCAACGTCGATAAGTGACTTGGATTTTTCAGTCACTGTTTTTGCGATTTTAACGAGTTGTGATAGACAAAAAGGTAGAACAAAACTCGCTCAGTGTAAGACCATCACAATCATCTCCAAAAAGATTACAGTTAAGATCTCCAAGAATTAGTACGTTTAAGCCACGTAGCAAAAAGTCTTAAACGTTTCGCTTAAGTTTTCTAAGAAATTGATTGGGGCATCCGATGGCCTGTAAACTGCACAGAGAAGAAAAGATTTAAATTTGCTACACAGCACTTTCAACCATAGTTGCTGAAAATTGGTTTCAGACACTGAGGACCATTTTCAATCACGCAGGCCTTGTAGATGTTTTTAACATAGACAAGTAGTCCACCGCCTCTCCTTTGTGGCCCTCGATCTTGCCTGAAAGTCTTATATCCCGAAACTGAGTATCCGCGTCGTATACTGTAGGGTCCAGCAAAGACTCACAGACGGTACAGATATCGAAGTGGCTATTGGTAACTGTCTGTTTAAGAAGATACAAATTTTTGCGCGACGCCACAGAGCGAACGTTAAGGTGGGCGACGGACATGAGAGGTTTTCGATTCTTTCTTGTGTGATCCGTGGACGGTTTGATGTCTCCAGTTGCGATTTTCTTTCTGTCTCCTTTAGCTCGTTGAAAACGCCCAGGTAATTGAGAGTGAATGTCGCCACACAGGAGTATAATATCAACCAGGACGATACGTTGTCCAGCATCGCCATGGTCACTTGGCCACGCCTAAATCATTTCAAAGATGGAAGCTTTCCGAAGTCGGACTATCAGCAAAGGTGACCCTAAGTACCCTCATAATTTCCTTTCTTTTATTGACAGATGAGGATAGCGGTTTGTGTGTTTTTCCTTTTACCATCACTTCCCATTTAAACTTGGCATCATATCATTGAGGTTGGACTTCACTACTTGCAATGGTTGAGGAGTTACCGACAACATGGCTACTCTAAAACAGGAATGCTAACAATTTAATCATCTGAAAACGGGACCAAAAAATTGGACGGATTTATACACTTGATATCATTGATCATAATAGAGAAACAACGTATGGGATCAAGTACTGTCCATTGAGGCACACCTCTGTTGATGGACTTGTAGTCAGTAAATTTTTTTCCACTACAACTTTTCCTACGACTTATACCACTAGAACCTCAGGCTTCACCACTTGAACAAGTTGTGAGTATTGGACATGGATGAAGGCGAAAAGTCGCGCGGATATCGCTCGCAATCTGGCGCTGCAACGAAATTGCCACTCTTGTTACGCGACAAATAGCCTGTTCCAGGCTCCAAGAAAGTAATGTTCAGCGATATGAAAACTGATGCAAATAACGCGCGGGAGCTGAGGAGAGAGAAGGCGTACTTCGCTCTTCCCCATATCACGTGCGTCTTATTTTCCTTCGACCTTGTTTTCTCGACGTCCCTACTATCCGAGGGCTTGGCCCGGGCTACGCGACAAATCGCGAGAAATACTCCGGTAAAAAGAACCCTCCATACCTCTTAAAATTTGGCCAACCAAGTAAGAAATTCCTATAATATACTGAAAATACGTTTATCGCAATACCTCGCACAGCTGTAAAGAGCCAGTCGTATGATTAAAGGGAAACAAGCCAACAAGTAACAAAAAAGGTTAAAACAACAACAACAACAACAAAAAACAAAACAAAAAGGCAAAAAAAAAAAAAAAATGGGGGGAAAAAATGGGAAAAAAGCCTTGGCCGAGAGTCGAACCCGGACCACCTGCATGTAAGGTCGTCTCTTAGACTACTGCTCCAAGTTGCCAATTAAATTTCGACAAAATTAATGAACCTTCGCTACGCGGGGAAATTAATGAGCATCAACCCTATATAAATTCGCTAATACGCTTGACAGCCTTGTCCTTTAGCCTCACAGACAATTTTAATGCACTATTATAGTTACCTTCTGCCTTTAACCAGGACTCAGGATGCAGTGAAGTAACCTGTTAAAGGGGAAGAAATTTTACCTGTCAATAAGCATAACCAATACTTACTTGAGTGATGGGCAAAGCTTTTGCATAAAGTCGGACTGTATGCAAAATATTAGAAAGCCCTAGTGCCCATACTTAAGAATAAATTTCACTTCGCGCACAAATTAATTAAAAGTAATCTTCATTTGAATTGTGGTGATAATGAGGATTCAACCCATTCGCTCCTGGAAATATTGCCAAAAATCGCCTTTTGAAGCTACGATAGTTGAGCTGTTTTCTGGACAAAGAAGATTTTCATCGGAATTTTCGGGTCAACTTTATAATGCTTTTCTTTTTTTCTTTGCTTTTTTATCCGGCCTCCTTGACTGAATTGTGTTCACAGGGGCACCCAACGACAATTTTCGGAAAAATATCTGTTCGGAAGACGATTTGAGATCTAGAATTTTCGGAACATTTGTTGTAAAATTTCTTAATTGCCTGCCTCTCCTAGGATTTTCGAACAACTAAAAAATGGTATAATTGCCTATTTTTAACAGATTTTTACCCTAAAAAGGCCACCTAGAATTTTCGGGAGCCTTTTGTAGTTGTTCTTGACCGTTCAAAACTGATGATGTCACAAGCAGTAGAAGGGACGTGGCGGTTCAGCGGTGAATGGGATAACTGCAAATAAGGAATGGGCCATTTGTTTTAAACTTTGCTTGCTCACCTCTTTGGATAAAAATGAGCTATAACCAGAAACAGCACTCCCGAGGTCCCCGCGTGAATCTCCAGGTCCACTAAAGGTACAAAAACAAATGTTACAGTAAAATATGCACGCTTTCTATGTTGGTTTATAGTTAAAGGTACTATGTTTCAAACTTTGCCCAAATGTGGCATTAGCATTGTTAAAGGTTTGTTTAGAGTGGAAAGTGCAATTAGCCTGTCCAGCTAGTTTACAGGCACTTTACTCAAATGATCAGAAACACATAATTAACAAGAACGCTCTTAGTAGCGTTGAGTCTCGCTTGCTTGGAGATGAGTTTTGTTGTCAAAGGCCCCGGTGCTGTTATACTACTTTTTCGTTTGGAATACAAAACGAGTGTTTTATGTCATAATGTATAAACTCAAAAAGTAAAAATTGCAAGGAGAGACTGGCCGCACATCTTAGCCTCAAACCGGTGTGAAACCTTTGAAAACCTTCTACATATTGATATTGCTCCATTGAGAAGTATTACACTCGAAAAATTGAACGATGATTTTTATCGGTATCAGGGGCCCATGACTCTGTCAGTATAAATATACATAGCTTCTTTGTACCGGACCAAGATACGGCTCGGTACAGTATATGATCAGCACAGGAAAAAAGTGTAAGTTTAACAGAACCTTATACAACAGACAGTTAATTCAGTTCGCGCGTATTCCTGCTGAATTTGTTGTCCGCTTTATAAGATATCAATATCGCGTGAAAATAATGACATTTTCCATATCTGCTTAGTACCTACTTTTAATATCTCCGTACAGTCTCAGAGTGCAATGTTTAGAGTTGCACACAGCATGCATTTTAGATAGATATATAGATAGATAGATACATAGATAGATACATAGATAGATACATAGATAGATAGATAGATAGATAGATAGGCAGACAGACAGACAGACAGACAGACAGACAGCCAGCCAGCCAGCCAGCCAGACAGACAGACAGACAGACAGACAGACAGACAGACAGACAGACAGACAGACAGACAGACAGACAGACAGACAGACAGACAGACAGACAGACAGACAGACAGATAGATAGATAGATAGATAGATAGATAGATAGATAGATAGATAGATAGATAGATAGATAGATAGATAGATATCCCAATATCAGTTCTCAATATCAGCCCAATATCAGTTCTGGCTGTTGTCTTAAAAATTCTTGAGCGTCACGTGCACCAAACTTTTTACCACTTTCTTTCCCAACACGACTTGCTGCTGGATTCGCAATTTGGTTTCCGTAGTTCTCGTTCATGTGAGCTTGCTATCGCCGATCTTTCTGATAACATTTTGACTAACATGGATAACAAACTCCTTAATGGGCTTTTGTTAGTTGACTTGAAGAAAGCTTTTGACCTTGTGGATCATGATACGTTACTTCATAAACTTCGTATCTATGGTTGTTCCCACTCTACCATGGTTTGGTTTCGCTCTTATCTATCCGGGCGTTCCCAAAAAAACGCAGTTTAGGGGCACTCTATCTGAAGCACTTCCAGTCTCTGTAGGTGTGCCGCAGGGTAGTATCCTGGGGCCACTTTTCTTTATTATTCATATAAACGACTTGCCGTCAGAGCTACATTCAGACGTAACTTCAACTATGTTTGCGGATGATACTACTATTCTTGTTCGAGGGCCCTCTGTTACTTCCCTCAGCACTCACTTGAATGAAGTTGCTAGAACTGTATCTACGTGGGCTGATAATAATCGAATGTCACTTAACACAACCAAAACTAAATCTTTACTTATTACGACCTCGCAGAAACGCCGTACTTTAACCAGCTCGGCACTCAATGTCCAAATCGATGGTAGATCTATTGAGCAAGTGGACTATGCCAAGATGCTGGGCTTTATGATAGACAGTGACATGTCTTGGGAGCATCATATCGATACAATCTGCTGCATCATTAGCAGTAGGCTTTCTCTTCTCCGTCGCATCAAACCTTATCTTAACTTTGATTCTGCTTTAAGATTCTATAATTCTTGTGTTAACTACTTTATTTATTGTTCTGCTGCCTGGGGTAACTGTTCCCACCATCTCCTCTTACGACTGCTTCGTCTTCAGAAGCGTGCTGGGCCTATACTCCTTGATGCCGACCTCTCTCAGGCTTCTATTTCTTTATTTTTAAAACCTAACTGGATTCCCGTTTTTGATCTTATTAAATACAGAAAACTTTTTCTTCTTTTCATCGTACTCCTTAATCCGAATGCTCCTGAATATCTCAGAAACAGATTTCAATTTCTTTGTGATTCGCGTGGACCTCTGGGCCGTTTTATAAGAGCCTCTCTCTACGACTTAAAGGTGCCATGCCCAAATAGCAACTCTGGGAAACGCACCTTGGTCTATACTGCTACTAAACTTTTTAATGACCTCAGTTTCGACTTAAAAGAGTTTCTATTTCTTCTTCTCCACTGATATTTAAATTTCTTCCCTCCTCTCTTAAGTCTAAATTACGAAGTCTGTTTTTCTCACGCCTATCATCGGCCGAGCACTTGGAGGATCTACTGTGCTCGACTGGCCGCTATTCTATTCATTGTCACTGTTTTTCATAGTCCTACTACAACCACTATTAGGTCTTTTAATTTATATTTATGTATATATGTATACATGTTCATTTATAGTACATATTTTGCCCCCCTTCGTCGATTTATATATTATTCATTACGTGTTTATAGCCTATTCTACTTTAAATATTGTCTCTTTTGTGTATGTATATATATATATTTATAAATTTGTTTTTAGTCTTCTAAACTTATTTATCTATTTATCTATTTTTTTGAGGGCCGTAGGTTAGAAAACTGTAATAGGTTATTGCGCTTTCCTCTTTAAATAAAGTTATTGTATTGTATTGTATTGTATTGTATTGTATTGTATTGTATTGTATTGCATTGTATTGTATTGTATTGTATTGTATTGTACTGTATTGTATTGTATTGTATTGTAGGTAGGTAGGTAGGTGGGTGGGTAGGTAAGAACCTTAGTTTACGGCACGATAAAAAGAACAGCATTGCTGGTGAGGTCGTGCTACAACAATTACAAGAAAAATAAGGAGTACTGAAAACAAATGTACACTTAAAAATTAAAAACTGTTAAAGTTTTCTCTTGTATTACAGTATCACCGGGATAAAGCGTTTCACTTTCCCAGAAAATTTCACTTTCTCGTCAAAACAATCACTGACTCAGACAGACTCGGATTATTTTACTTGAATTTAGTGTTCAGTACAGCGAACAGGGTTATGTTCTGTGAAATTTATCTACAGTCTGCGGCCCACATCACCACTGATCCACGATTTATTTATTTATTTAATTTCAAGTTCTTTTTAACCGATCCTTGATCACTGATTTCTCGATCCTCGATCCTGAAATTCCAGTACACCTTGAAGTTTTGCTCATTAAGATTATTCTTTTTTTTTCGACCACTGATCAGTGATCAGTTGTTCCAAAATAATCAACAGTTTCAAGCGATAGAATTCTTGGACCAACCCGTTCCGGAAAAGCTCGATATGGGATTTCTATTAACTATGGACATGAAGTGCTTCAGGTAGAGTGTGCGGTTAGTCAAATTCAAAGCTACCCGTATAAACACATCCGTGACACGTTAGGGTGGATTTCCACTGATGCGTTTTTGGCTCCGCACGTTAACGCACGTAAATTTTAATCACGTAAATCAAATAGAGGTAAGACATAAAGTATTGAGATTAAACGTCAAATTAAGCGAGTTTCTACTTTTACGCTTACATAATTGTACGTGCGGCCTTTCATATATTGCCTTTATTTTATTTGCGAACGCAAATCTTACGCACGTGCGCTCCTAAAAATTACGTGACAGTGGATACTTCATATCTCAAGTATTTATGAAGTGCAACACGACTTCAAATCGTAACAACTACGAAAATCTGTCAATTAAATACATAAAACAAAGTGAATCTATTTAACCGTCCATTTACTGTAATTGCGACAATATTCTAAGAAACGTAACGCCTTAAAAAGCCACAAAATCCTGAGGATTTCCCCGCTATAATATTTTCTCATCCTTTCCTTTTTAAAATGCCTGCATGTCGTGCATAATTACACGAAAATCTAGGGCCTCCATTCGAGGAAAATTACATCATTGCCAAACTTACATGCGTAATTTCAGTCATCGCCGAAAATAAACTGCATTCTCATCACGAGACTCATTTCCATACAATGAAAGTCGTCACGATTCTTATCCCCAGTTTCCACGGTCTTCACTAGGAACGCGGGGCCTACAAACTAGGTCCCACCGACGAAAAACAAAATCAAAGAAAGACTATCGTCAACTCGTGGGTACGTTGTTTAGAAAATAATCAATTAGTTATCACCTCTGGTTTTCCCACAGTGAATTTTAGGAAATGATAGAAATTCATATTATAAATATACTATCCTTGTTCTGGAAACACAATACTTTTCTTGCTGTTTATTGCACTTTAGTAACAGTTATTTAAGTATATATTAAAAAACAAAAAAAAAAAAAAACAGCAAAACAAATAAGCAAACAAGACAAAACAAAAAAGAAAAAAAAAAAGGAAGAAGGGAAAAAGAAGGTCCTTAGCAGGATTTGAACCCTGTACCTTCGATTTAACCGGACCTCACATAGCCACTACACCATTGAGGATGGTCACATGATTTGGCGAAAAGTCTCAAATTTAATGCCTTTTCCATGGAACTTCCGCCGGCAAACGACTGGGGCAAACGATCGAGCCATAAAAACGACTCGAAGCAATGGGATGAAATTAAGGCTAATTGAAACCAGGCTACTGACAGTAAAAAACAATGTAAACGCATTTCATGGCAATGAAAGAACATATGCGATACAAAGCCGACACAACTCCTCCGCGAAGTAGGGCGCAAAACATTAGCTTATGTGTTCTTATCTCGATTTCCGCTGTTATTTTAAAAAGGTAATGCTCAAACTCACATCCATTTCCCCCCGTGATCTTGGGGAGTCCTTATGAAGAAGAAGAAGAAGAAGAAGTGCCTTTATTTACCATACATTTCACCAGTCCGTATTTTATAGTCCGTATTTTATACTCAGTCCACAGTCCGTAGTCCGCAGTCCGTGTTCATACATTCATTCATACACATAACCTACTACAGTACTACAAGGTAGGAGATTAAGCCAGCGTCAAAGTTGAAGGAGTCGAAGAGCAAATGCTCATCTTCTTGTCAAGTTTAACGCCTGGACGGGTCAAAGGCTTTTGAATCGTACTAATTTGAAAGATTCTTGCCTGTCTTAAATTTGGTAAGACCTCTATCCTAACCGTGCTGTAGCGCACGATGCACGCTCGCAGCGAGGAATTTGATGCTACCGAACTTCGGCGAGCGCGTGCTTCTTTGGAAACGATAGATCTTCGCGCTCTCGAGTTCGGACCCGATTAATTACGAAGTGCGTCTACTACGAGTGAGTGAGTGACTCATTTGCATATCTCAGTCCCTGCAATAACTCGTGGTACGCTCGCGCGTACCCACGAGTTAAAAACGACTGCATTTGAAGAGTCTCGCTCTGCTCAAGCAAGCTCGACTAAATATAAGAACCAGACCCTGCCCCGAACCCACCGCTCCCACCCCCTCTCACCAAGTTGTTTAAGTCAGCTCTGAACTCCTTCCCTTAGTAAGGAATTATTTTGTCCCCCATTATATCTTACTTGCAAACTGTCCTGATTAGGATTATGCAAGTTATGGATGTAGATGAAGACAGGGCATTTCAAGAACGTGATTGACAAATATTTTTTTTCAGTGGACAAACTGTTCGTAGTGTGCGAACCAAGAATAACGTGCTGCAAGGCAACTTGGAGATATACCTCGAATGTAGAACTATAAATCGGCTTATGTGCGACTTTATCAGCTACGAAATCTACCTAAATTCTAAAATCTACCCAGAAATGATCCTCACCCGAAATGATCCCTATTTTTTCCGCGTACACCTGTTAATTTCGGGGCCTTTACGGCAAAGTACAGCATTCAAAGGAATTAAATTATGAAAAACAATAAAAAATGATGCCTATGGTCAACTGAGGTATCACACAAAACACTAGTTAAAGCGGTCAAAATGTACGTCAGTGTAATTCAAAACAATCCAGAATCCGCGGAATAGGCTTTTTCTTGTTTCTTACCTGCTAGTTGCTGGTTCCCTTGATATGTCTTTGTTGGTTTCTTGTTGCACCGGATATCCTCCCTCTGAAAACCTCTTTCTGCCACAGTCCCTCTCTTCATCATCGCTATCAAGGTTTCTGGCCTCGTTTTCAGAGGGCCCCCGGGGTTCTTAAAGACATAAAAGATTCAAGATTAAGCCTACAATTGAACAAATCTGAAAAAAAGCAAAGACAATGGTCCGGCCAATAACACACAGCAGGTGACGGTAGTATTTACTGAAGTCCGGAAATCAAATACAGTGATAACACGCTAGTTAAAAACAAACCTCAAAAACAAAAAGTTATACGCACTACGTCATAATTCATACTATATGGAGTACTTATGGAGCCTTGGCCCACTATTGCATAGTAGCGGTGTGCACATTATTGCATAATTTATGCAATAAGTAAGCACAACAGCCACAAAAACGAAACGAAACAAAACAAAGCAAAAAGGTGAAAGAAAGGTTAGATGGTTCACACCAGAACTACACGTTACGTCTGACTTTGCTCCCTACGGTGGTATGAACTTCATTTAGGAGACACACAGTCTTGAAACCATTAATACACCTTTTGCTGTTCATTACGAGAAAATACGCAATCACTTGCGTAAAACGGCAACCAATAGTGCGAAGATACATTTATTAGCGCGAAAATACGAATATTTGCGCATAAATCAGATTCAATAACGATTTTTGCATTTTAATCAACATTCAATAACACTTTTGAGCATTCATATAAGTCATTCGGCATACAAAAGAGAAACATATACTTTCATTAACGCAAACATCGAAGTCATTAACACCATCTTGAAAGTCAATAGGGTCAAAATACGAACATTAAAGTTCAAACACTATTAATTACCATTTTTATGACACTGTTTGCAATTCAACAGCATTCCTGGACTACCTTAGGATAAAAAAGACAAACATTAATGCGCCTGTACAATCAATTGAGCGTTCTTTACATTTAATACACAAAAATTGATTTTCAATTAAACAATAACAATTCCAAAAAATTGGCCTCAATTTTTACGCTGCCTGGTTGAAAAAACCACCCTGTACTGCGCCAATTTCTGTTCGTCGACGATTGCGGCTATTTGTCACCATTTGGACGGCCAGTACATGTATTCATGGTAGGGCGCGACAGGGAAAGGGGGCGTACGGCCAACAAGGACGAGATTTTTAAGACGGATATGACCATGGCAATATCACCTATCAAGCTGTTGGTGTAGTGAAAGCTGCGCGTTTCGGTTTCTTCCTGGTACAGGCAAGGACAAATGTGGATCCCAACAAGGTGGGTGATCTTTGCGTATGACAGAGTGCCAGCCGCACGAAGATTCGGCCATTTCCCCAGCCCTTATGCTCCCCCTACCCCCTCTCGACATCATGGAACAGGTATAAAAGCCGTCTGAAGGCAACAATCAAGGCCGATATCTCGCGTCCGGAAATCTATAGACGTAACAAGGCCAAAGCCCTAGGCATCCCACTAGGGGAGTTCGAACACAACACCTGAAGTGCCTGAAGCTCTGCGCAGAAACGTAGACATTGTGACCGAAGTCAAATGTGCTGAGGGTTACCATTTCATAAACCTGCCTGCCAAAATGTTTAAATAGAGAGGTTATTGAGCGATATAATGGGCTGAAATTCAGGCCAAATTTGTTTGAATTTCTATTGTTTAATTGAAAATCAATTTTTGTGTATTATTAAATCTAAAGAAAGCTCAAATGATTGTACAAGCGCATTATTGTTTGTCTTATCCATCCTAAGGTTACCCAGGAATGCTATTGAATTGCAAACAGTGTCGTAAAATGTTAATAAATAGTGTTTGAACTTTAATGTTTGTCTGTTGTCCCTATTGACTTTCAAGATAGTGTTAATGACTTCGATGTTGGCGTTAATGAAAGTATATTTTTCTCTTGGATAATAATTTGTGTGGAAAAGCAGCACATTCTATTGTCGCCTCGTGACTGAATTTTCGCGACCTTGTAATTATTTGATTGGGAAATACAAACGAGAACCTCTGGAACCGGGATAGAACACAAAACAGTAAATTACTGTTTTGTGTAACTGTTTATTTATTTCTTTTGGAACCGTGTTAGAAAACAAATATGGTTTCTGTACGTAACGTAACTGAAATTATCAACATCATCATTAGCTTATGATTGCCTGAAACCCACTGGATTTAAGTGGTTTCGCTTCTCTGTAAGAACAAAGTTTTTTAATTATTCCCTATATTAGAACGAACATTTTATACCAACCTTTGCGAAATCTAATTGCTAGTTGGTTGAAGTACCCTCTGAAGGAACGCTCTTGCAAATACTAACAATGTTTTAAAGTAATTAACACGATTTGCCGCCAAAAATCAGTGAACCTGAACTAGGACAATCACAGCCGCAGGAAATAGGATTTGCATAATTACGTCACGTCTCAGTGTTTTAAGTCACAGACAAGTTTGACTTTACTCCTCAGAGAGTATGAATTAACCAGTGAAAACGAAGAAGTTTATCGACCTTCAAGTAACTAGAAAACCTAAACCAACTAAAAATAGCACACGACCTTACCTTTTTGAGATTCCTGCGCATTTTGCTCATGAGATAAAGACAAAAGGTTATGACGACATCGGCGTTAATGTATTCGTCCGCAAGATAATGAGATTCCCCGCAAAAAAAGAGGACTAACCGGTAAAGGTGTTTACCAATCAAAACACAACTTGGACATTATCATACCCAGATAAGGATATGACGCACATGATAAAAAATAAACTCAGACATCATCTTACCTGAATAACTATGTCATCATCATGACCAAATAGGGACATGATATCACTTTTCCATCTATAGATTATGATCTCAACATTATTTTGATGACGTCAACCCGTATTCTGACGTCACTTGCTCATAGACAAGTTAAAATAAACTATAACATCACCCTATCTTAATGTCACTAGCATTAATTTATGCCACTTCAAACTAATGAGATTCCACTTCAAAAACCGGTCCCTCCTATGCTACTTTAATCTTTCTTTTTCTTTTTCTTTTTGTCTATTTTGAGAAATTTTTGTTTGTTTTGTTTTGCTTTTGTATCTCCTTCTTGTGAGAAATTTTGAGTCCACCATTACAAAGGTTTATGGACAGTGGTGAGTACATATAAGTAACTGCTTAAACTTACCTAGAGTGATATTTACTTGTACCATTCTTTCAACGAGTTTCTCACACTGTTTCTCCCACTTGTACACTTTTTCCCAAGCTTCGCGTATGATCTCAATTTCTTTGAGTCGAGTCTTCCTGTCTTTGTGACAAGCAGCTCTTATTGCATTGGCCCAATCGCTGGGATCTTTTGATTCCACCACACAACTTGAACCATATGGAACTTTCTTCAGAGCCTCGCCAAGACCAGAGTTCCCACTGACCAGCACAGGAAGACCAGCAGATAAAGCCTCAAGGGTAGCTAGACCAAAGCCCTTAGTTCGTGATGGCATTATGGCAAGATCTACTTCACAAAACAACCGGGCTAACTGCTCTCTTCTTTCAGGGAAACAACGTACCCTTAGTTGACTGCGATCAATGCCTTGCTCAAGAAACAAATGCTTTACTTTTTCCTCTTCTCCACTTGGAGCTCCAACAAACCAGAGTTTATAAGGCTGTGGCTCGGCGTACAACTCGGCAATAGCGCGGGCAGCAATGTCATATCCCTTCAAATGAAAGTCTTCATTTTCACCAAGTCCAAACACTAAAACAATGAATGCTTTTCTTTCTTCAGTGGCTTGCTTTACATCAGCAAATTCAGAGAAAATGCCTGGGGTAAGATCGAGAACATCTTGATCTTTTCCACAAGGACGGAGATAACCTGAGAGAGCTTCAGCCAGCTTGGGTCCAACAGCTACAACTTGATCAGCCAATTTACAGAGTTCAACCTCAACCTGGTGTTTCTTGGAAATGCATTCTTCGTATCCTTTGTACATTCCAAGTTCTTCTGGAGCGGTATAGACGACCTGAATCCACTTGCAGTGAGGATGAATTCGCTTGATCATCTGCAGTTGCCGACCAAGAATAGCCCCATGTCCTATCACAAAGTCCACAGCATGATCTTTTGGTAAAAAGGACAGCCAGTCAAGCGGGTCATAACCTGGCATTTCCTCTGCTTCAATGAGATGGACATTGTGACTAGCAGCGACTCGTTTATCCTCTTCACTGCACTGAGGGAGATAAACGCTGACCTCCAAGCTGGGATGTTTTGCCAACTGAATGGCTAGCTCTCGGTTGATGGTTGACAAGCCTCCTTTCGTTAATCTCCGTTCAGTGCTTAATAGAGTAACTCTCAACTTCCTGGAGGAAATGGATCCTAAATTGCCAGGAAAGGATGACAAATCCTGAAAAGAAAAGTAGCATAACTTCACTAAATTATATATAAAGCAAAATTCACCCAAACTGTCTATTATAGCAAAGGCTTTTTTTTTTCAACCAATGCCAATCCATTTTTCCCATAAAAATCGTTGTCATTCTGACTGCTGCATAACTATTACAATTACTGTACATTATGTCATATTCCGACTTTGACAACCTGTGCTATTACAATTGAACATGTGTAATCTCCATAAAAAAAACAAGGACAACAGCGTTGGCCAACATACACTGCAATCGCCAACCAAAATTAACATTTAACATATTTCTTCCCTTCTCCCCCCCACCCCCACCAAAAAAATTTACGGCCCGTAATGACTTCCCTTACTCTGATTAATGTCACAGGAACATCGCATCTTCAATTAGGGGGCAGGGGGTACAAAAACGTACTTGCAGGTCAGTAACAGAACTGGACCATACAAATTGTGTATGAGAAACTGGTTTACTGGAGTGCGCGCATCCGTTTATTGATAAACCAATGGTCATAACCGAGCCCACTGAAAAAAGCGCACGGTTATTAGGGCTGGAATCGACAATTTATCCTGGCAACAAGCTGCGCATGCTCAACAAAGATCTTACTCGATTCATGTCGAGTCTTTCTCGACTACACTAAATTAGGCAAGCGAAAGAAAGACTCTGCTGGTGGTGTGATAAACATTGCTCGTTATATGCGAATTACGTATGTTATTTTTTGTCCTATACTAACGTCCTGTACTACTCTCACATTGATCTCCTTAAACCAACTACATCTTGGTTAGTTTGTCTGATTTGATTGAAATAATCGGGGCGTGAAAACGAAATTTAACTCTGGAGCATTCACGTTCGCTGCACATCTTGTGCTGACCATTTAGCTGAAAACGGCAGAGAAAAGTATCAACACAAACAACGAAGAAATGTGTGAAGCAGAATTTAGTAACCTTGTTATTTTCTAATCTGAACCATACTTTAGATTCTTCAATGTGTCTATAGGGTTCTCTGGTACAGTGACTGACCTCATTTGATGGTGTTACATGGTGCTCTCCAGTGAACATATCGTATGACACTTCAATTCGTGTTCCTCTGAATGCAACGGCAGCATCTTTCAAGAGAAAGAAAATGCCAGCAAACAAATATCAACAACATCAACGCCTAGGTCTTTACCGCTTGCTAACTTCCCTTTCAAAAGCTTCCACATGTGGGAAAGCCTGGTTGTTTACCATTCATATTCACATGGGCAAACTGGTTGGTTCAAGGTTTGGGCAAGGAGCAAAATTCAAGTCTGGAAAATTTCGTCCTGGAATCGCCGGCGTTTACTATTTGTACAAGTCAGTTCCATTCACCGCAAAAAGGGCGCGAACGCCTGGAACGTACTGGTATGAAAGATGGCTTTGAAGAATTGGAACACGAATCTTCGTTTGGAATATTCCGTCAGGAATAACAGAACTACCTTTTCAGACGTTCCCTTGCTCGTGGAAATTTTCCTCTGATACGACCCGAAAAGTGGTGTTCCATTTACTTTTAAACCGAATTTTCCAGAAGTTTTTGTAAATGGTTAACAACCTCGGGGCATCAATCAACAACCCATTTAGGCCAAAAGTCCAGTATTAAATTTTGACAGGAGCCGATGCTACCGGTTGCACCGATATGTTGTCGAAATTGTTGTTCAGCATGGTGGACATTGGTGAAAATCTGTACAACTCCTCCATTTGTAAGTATAGAACAGCGTACCTATCTATTTTATGCATCCATGCTCATCCAGATCGACGAATTTATAATGATTTGATAGACCGTTTTAGCTTGAAAGATTTGTTGTCCCGATAAAGTAAAAACCCGCGTATAAGAAGCTATGTTTTTCCAAGCTAGGGTAAGAACGTTCCTATAAAAATGGTGCTAACCGGAAAATTAGGCGACTCAGGTTCTTATTTTTAAAAATAAATAAGGTGTTTGTCATTGGTGGGTGTGGCTTATTTTGGGCCTATTTTTGGTCTTGCATGCATAATACGTTATAGAAATCTCCTTAATCCAAGCATGTTTAAGCCATTTATGAATTTTATACATTTTCCTGACTGGTAGAGCTTGTTCTATTAAATTTGTGTATTCAGTGTTTGACTAAATTCCTCAAAATAAAAACTTGTTAGAAAATTGTAGGCTAAAACAGGTTCTTATGTAAAAGGGGTCTAAATGGGAAATCTTAACCTAACAGGTTCTTAAAATCTAGGTTCTTATACGCGGGTTTTACTGTAGGGCATTTTGACGATGATGACTACAACTACTAGAATTCATTTCGTTCCTTACTTTCTTATTAAATTTGTCCAAGCTTTCTCAACAGAACAGCTGTTAGTTTTAACTAACTCACCAATCTTACTCGTAACCCCCGGAAAAAATAACCTCGAAAAGCCACACCGACCCCCTCAGAAATTGCTTCCTTTAGAAACCCCCTTCCCTTGGAATTTCCGTTGCTCTCCCTAGGGGGATGGTATTTCTTCCGAAACTTGACCACAGCAAAAGAAATGAAAGAATAAAGATTTAGCCGTGATTTGGCCATGATATTATAGGAAAATATTCTTCATCATCAACAATGAAAGTTACGCAGACTTTTAAAAGTGCTTTAAACTGTCACATGAACGGATGTTGTCTGGAAAACTGTTCCAGGGGTCTGGAACAGCGATAGTGAAGGTTCAAGACCCTTAGGGCTTGAGATTAAATTAAATATTTTAATAGTTTTTGGTTCAAACCGGTCTCTCTAATATTCGACACACAAGATTTTGGCAAAAACCATTGTTTGAGGCAATTTACCGTAAAATTCCGAAAATAAGCCCCGGGGCTTGTATTTTTCAAAGGCCCTTTTTGAGGAGCTTATTTTTGGAGGGCTTCAAACTTGGTTTTAATCTTTTTTCATTCTTTCCTCATTTCTTAAATTAATTTTACTATTAATTTTTTAAATTGCATCTCCTTCTCGTACGGAATTTTTAGTCTACTGTTAAGAAGGCTTATGGGCAATACATGCATGGAACTGTTTAGACTTACCTTCTAAAGTGATACTTTTCATCCCTTCAACAAGTTTATAACACGGGTCCTTCCAGCTGTACTTTTCTGCATATGCTGCACATACAACTTCACACTCTCTAAGTCGTATCTCTCCGTCTTTGTGACAGACACCTTTGATTGCCTGGGCCCAATCTCTAGGATCTTCTGACTCCACAACAAACCCAAGGCCAAACGGAACTTTCTTCAAAGCCTCGCCAAGGCCAGAGTTCCCACTGACCAGCACAGGCAGACCAGCAGATAAAGCCTCAAGGGCAGCTAGACCAAAGCCCTCAGTTCGTGATGGCATTATAGCAAGATCTACCTCACAAAACAACCGAACTAGCTGCTCTCTGCTTTCATTAAAACAACGCACAGTTAGTTGACTGCGATCAATGCCTTGCTGGAGTAACAAATCTTTTACTTTTTCAACTTCGCCACTTGGAGATCCAACAAACAAGAGCTTATAGGGCTGTGGCTCGTCTTTCAACTTAGCAATGGCGCGAGCAGCAATGTCATATCCTTTGAGCTGAAAGTTTTCAATTTCATCACGTCCAAACACTAAAACACTGAATGTTTTTCTTTCTTCAGTGGCTTGCTTTACACCAGAAAACTCAGAGAAGATGCCTGGGGTAAAACTGAGCACATCTTGATCCTTTCCACAAGACCGAAGATAACCTGAGAAAGCTTCAGCCAGCTTGGAACCAACTGCTACAACTTGATCAGCATTTTCACAGAGTTTAATCTCAACGTGGTACTTGTTCTCACCTCTTGAAATGGCATCAGCGTAGCATTTGTACTTTCCAAGTTCTTCAGGAGCTGTATGAACGACCTGAATCCACTTGCACTTACGCTTACGTCTTATACCCTGCACTTGCCGACCAAGAACAGCCCCATGTCCTATCACACAGTCCACTACATGGTTTTCAGGGAGAAAGGACAACCAGTCAACAGGGTCATAACCTGCCATTTCATCTGCTTCAATAAGCTGTACATTGTGACTTGCAGCAACTTGTTTATCTTCTTCACTACACTTGGGGAGATAAACACTGACCTCCACGTTGGGATGTTTTGCCAACTGAATGGCCAGCTCTCGGTTGATGGTTGACAAGCCTCCTTTTGTTGACCTCCATTCACTGCTTAACAGAGTAACTTTCAATTTCTTGGAAGAAGTGGATCCTGAATTGTTTTCATGGTCTTCCTGTGATGTAGAGGCTGTGCTAGGAAAGGATGGCAATTTCTAAAAGAAGAGTGGCATAAATTTCTGAATAAAGGTTTTTAAAGTGAAGTTCGTACAAACTGTAATATCATTCTGTACTACTATAAACTAATGAAAAAAATGAGTAATGAAACTCCAACATCGACCTTCACTTCTCTTATGGATCCACTTAAGATCAGACTAAAATGACATAGAGGAGGTAAAGAGACATCTTTCAAAATCTAACATGAGGTAAGCTGTTATCTTCAATACCCGTTTACAAATAGTTCTCATTTTGACTGCTGCATAACCGCGTCATGCTGTTCATTTTATTATGTTCCTAGCTTGGAAACCAGTGGTATAATGTGTGTTTATGTGTAAATAACAGTAATAACAGGGATGGCCAGCATACTGTAGCATTTTATGTATTACATCTAAAAATGCTCAGTATACTAACCATTAAGAACTTACCTTGTTCCTAATAATTCATGTCTCATGAATATTACATCTTTGATAAGAGGAAGTGGGAACAGAACAGAAACACCTCACATACACAGCTGTGAAATCAAGGGTCTAAGATGATGTACCTGACTCAACAACACTTTTTGCAATTGCTTTGACTCAGTACCACAATGAGAAGTGAAGATGCTATTTGCTCTTTTCTTTTTCTTGAGAGCAATCATGAAAATCTATGGTTTTTTATCAAGATTCCAAAAGAGGAACTTAAACACGAGCTAACTGACACCCACACAGCAAGCTCATATTGCTTCCACTGGCAAGAACCACCAAGGAGTTTTTAATTACTACTTCCAATCTTCCCTCCTGCACCCTCACCCTAGTTAGCCGGGGATGTTATTCCACAACTTACAGCAATGCTGGCAGCAGTATGTTGCCAGTAAACGAGCCTGCATAGCTGGCGGTTTTGTCAGTCAACCATGCTAATAGAGGTAAAGATGTGCGTTTCTGTCTCATTCTCATTATGGCTTCACTGCTCGCTTACACCTCCTTCCATTGCCCCCTAACCATCAGCTATGCTATTCAGGCTTCCAGTAAATATAACACTATACAGCCCTGTAGACCAGGTTGAAGAGAGGTAGTGTGAAAAATAGTTCCCTGGCTAAGAAAAGCAAGTGATGACACTTAGAAGGTTCAAATCAGACCTTTTGGGATCCAAATTAAGCCTGACATGACCCCCAGGGGGGGAGGGGGGTACTCCAGATTTTAAGTCACAGGGTTGATCGAAGGTTGGGTTTGAAATTTTCGATTTTAGGATTTTTTTTAAAATTTATTTATTGATAATCACATTAAATAATTACATTTACAATACTACAAAAAAAACCACTTCAACGATAGACATTAACAGAGTAAATCAAGATTAATTGTTAAATTATTACAGGGCTAAAAGAAATTATAAAAAAGTACAACAGGGCAATGAAATAATACGGAGTTAACTTAAATAAGGCGTCAGTATTCACTTTCTTTTAAAGAATTCTTTGTTGCTGATTTTCTCTTCTGTTTCATATTTAGCGATGATCTTGGCTCTAAATCCATAAATGTTTGGAGGGATTTGTTTGCTCCTACAGTCCCACAAATAGAGTTTTCCAATATGCAGAGACGAATTCGTTGATTCGAAATAAGGCACCAATATAGTTCAAATTCAATCCAAAACTGTTAAGAGCGTGAGCAGTGATAGAACAAATGGGTTAATGATTCAGGCTGATTGTCACAGAAAGTACATAAATCATTTGTTCTAAAACCTATTTTATACAACTTTGTATTTGTGTAAAGAATTGAGTTCATTACTTTGTACTGGAAGGTTTTAGCTTAAGTATTTGCTTCAGATTGTCGCTGTTAAAATGAAAGTTACTCTGTAATTTTTTAATAATATTGGGCGGTTTAGCTTTTTTCTGATGAGTAGGTTGTAGTAATCCTTTGATTTCCCTTTCGTAACATCAAAATTATTGTCGCCCACCACAGATGTTGGAGAGTTTATGGAAGGATACCTGTCATAACTTCTTAACGATAATGTAATGGACCTATGTAAGCCAGCCCATTCTAAAATATTTGTTTTGCGTATTTTTTTAGACAGTTGATTATAAGAATAAGTACTGTTCAGACTAAATAAAAGATCTTGAATGCAAATGACTCTCGCATTAACATAATGTTTATAATAAACTGGCTTGTTTTCTACTTTTATTTCTTTGTTGTTCCAGATTATGGTTTTCCAATCTTCTTCAGTGGCAAACGTTTCACGAAATTGCGACCACCAGAACAAAAGTTCCTGATAAAACTGAGAAGGAATTGTGTAATCCGAGATATTGTAGTTGCACTTAAAAAAGAACAATCCCCCAACGGAGCTCAGTATGTGTTGTAGGTAGCTTTTCTAAGTTCCATTAGTCCCACTGAAGATACATTTTAACCAAGCTAATATCAATGATTTAACCATGCACTCGAGATCAACCATTCTTAGCCCTCCCTCTTCGTATTCGTTTATAACTGAAGCTCTTGTTACCTTATCTACACCTTTCCAAAGAAATTTAAACAGTATTTTATTCAATTCTTTTAGCAATTCCTTGGGAGTTGGAAGGATCGAACAAATGTAAATGTACTTAGGGATAAGAAAAGATTTGATTATTGCCACCTTACCGTATATCGACAGGCCTCTAGCGGACCATATATTAATAAGTTTTTTAATTGAATCCAGTCGTTCTATAAAATTCCTTTCTTTAAGCAAGTTTTGGTCGTAAGTAAAATATACACCTAGAGCTTTTATTGGCTCGTCCGGCCATTTAACACCGAATGGTTTTTCTTTATTATGTCTCTTAGATCCAATCCACATACCTTCAGTTTTTGAACAGTTAATCTTGAGTCCAGAGAGAATTTCGAATTTGTTAAGTAGTTCAAATAATATTGCGGCCGAGCTTGTGTCAGCTAACACAGCGGTTGTATCGTCTGCTAACTGTAAAAGCTTAGTTTCCTCAGTTCGTATGGTGATTCCTTTAATTGACTCTTTTTGCCTTATAGCAATTGCTAAAGTTTCTACAACAATTATAAATAAGTAAGGAGAGAGTGGATCACCCTGCCTAACACCGCGTTCCAGAGCAAAAAAGTTAGAACTAACGCTATTGTTTATAACACAGCTTTGAATGTTGTTATAAAAGGTTTTCACCGCTTTTCTCAAGCAGAGTAATTACAGTCTGTTTTTGTAAGCATGACATTTCCCCTTTTTCGAAACATTCATTTGCGCACCTGATAAAACTTTCGCTTATTAAAGGCCAAAATTGTCTACAAAATTCAGCTGGAATGCCATCATTTCCAGGGCATTTATTACTTTGAAAGCTATCCAAGAGCTCAGAACATTCTTCTGGAGAAATTAATCCTTCACAGGAATTTTTTTGCTCCTCTGAAAGTTGGGGAATATTCAGATCGTTAAAAAATGAAGATATTTCTCTCCTATATTAGGACTATTAATGCTGCTTTTGAACAATTCTCTGTAAAAACGCTCTTGTTCTTTAAAGGGACTGGTTCACGATAATGCGCATGTGTGAGTTCTGACAGTAGCTGATTGTTTTTCAACCAATCGGAAGCGAGTTAGATGCACGCAAGTAAATTTACAAAATTCAAATTAATTGTTCGCGACGCGAGAGTATTTCCGGGCATTTGGTTTGATTTTATTTATCCCCACAATTCAAGTTTTTTCTTTGCTACTTCTCAGATATATGTTGCAGCCGATAAGAATAAGATTTACAGCCCTGTCCTGCTTTGAAACAAACATTTACCAACGTGTATTTTTACGAGGTCGTACCCACGCTAACAAAACAGTCACCGATCGGCAAACAAAATTTGTAAACAAACATCTTATTACTGTTCTCTAAGTTCGCCTTATATAAACCCAGAAAGACCTACAAATAGCGCCTGACCGGTGACAAAAACACACAACGTATGAGTATAAAGATTATCCTTTATTGAGCATAAATTTCAATTGTTTATCAGCAAATGAACAAATTCATTCGCGTTGCATCGGGTCAGTGTTCCGCAAAACAAATGTTATCGAGTAACACACATAAAGAAACGAGAATATAAACAGAATATTCAGGCAATAATTTATTTTAAAACATCAATTCTTAAACATATACGATCGTAAAGCAAAGATACAAGGAACATTTCAAGTGTACCAGATCGGTGAAGATCACGCGGCCTGCTGCGGTATAACTACAGGTCGGAGTCAAAAACCAAATCAAAGTTGTTCATGCCTCGAACCACTTTCCAAGTGTCGTGTATTCTGTTCGTATGCCACACACTACTCCTAGAACCATACCAGATCGATAGGCTAAGCTTCTCTATCTCGAGAGACTCTTGAGAACGTCCTGTTGCCGGACGGCCACGATGCTCTTCTGAACCTCCATGATCAAAACATTATTTTTTGCGTCTTCTTAAAACGTAACCAGTCAAACGACACAACCACACGTTAATCACCACTACCGAAGTATAACTAGGCCAAACAGGGGATTTTCAATTATTGTACCGGTAATGGCCATTTCGAATTTAGTGTTGACCCAACAAATTTATTCTGAAGAGACAATTGGCGC